CAGGAATTCATTAGATCTGAACCTGAACTGAGGGAGACATCAACAGGAAACCAAAAAGCTGGGGCTGTGAGACATGGCCCCTGTTCTGCCACAACTGCTAGGACAAGGCATCCTTCCCTTGCCATTCTAGAGCAAGTGAGAATCAAATGACATGGCCAAATCCTCCCTGTAATTATAATAAATTATAATAAAAAGATTTTTTTTTCAAATTGATAATATTGTGCCTTAAAAATAACTTCTCTCAAACTTATTGCTACAAGTAACCCCAAAGGTTACTAGAACTGAAAGAGGCCAGGGAACAAAAGTGTTACCCCTTTTTTAATGTATTCATTCTTGTACTTGCATATAGCCAGTTCCACTCTTTCTCCTTCTAGAACAAATCAGCTTCCCCCTTTTGCTTGTCTGCATTTTTCACACAGCAACAAAGGAGAGAAAACTAGGACTTCAAAATCACAAAAAAAGGGCCAGAGGTCTGGATTTCAATGCCTACCTGCCCCTTACACAAAACAGAGCTACTTCTCAAAAGGACAACCTCCATGAATTTGCAGCATTACGGTAATTCTGAAGTAGGTCTTTTTTTTTTTTTTAAGAGAAATATAATCCATCCAAAAAAAATACTAGGCTCTCACCTACCGCTCAGAGTTTCAACACCCAGGCATTAAAGAAAATCAGAGTGACTCCAGCTGATTAACAGGGTGACAGTCTTCCAAAATTCATTTTTCTCTGAATTCCGGGAAACGTTTTCTCCTTTCTTCTGTAAACAGCTGACGTTAATACAAACAAAAACATCTTCAGTGAAAATGTGCAAGATTAGAGAAGAGCTGGGAAGAGTCACTACATCACACTCTGGCTGCTGGGGCTCTGAGGTGGGGGGGAGCCAGTGGGACAGTAAATTCATCTTGGACTCATCCTGACCACACCAACCCTTCCCAGAGCCAGCCATAAGCCACCCAGCCGGTTACTAAAGAGGAGTCCCAAGTGTTTCTAATCTCAGACTGTCCTGCAAAAGATTTTGGACTGTGGTGGGGATTATTAAAACTAATAAAAAAGCCAGTGCTTTTCTTGGATCTCTATTTCTCTGTGGTTGATGGACTCCCTCTCGGGTCCAGAGCTCTGCCTTTTCTGGTCTTAGTTCCCAATTCAATTTCTTTCATTCCTGACGCTTGTAGTCTCAGGATCTCCCCAGCCTGCAGTACCACTCTGCTTTCACTTGAAGGCAACATTGTACCGCACATTGCTCTACAAAGAAGCATACAGAGCGGGAAAGGGAATGCATCAGAGTTACTTTGCCCAAATATTATTTCAAATTCTTCAGGATCCTGCAACTGGAAAGACAGACACAGCTTCAGACAAGAAGGGGACGGAATGACAAATAAATCCACTGACAGCATTGTGGGCACCCTGATGGAAACAGCAAAAACTCTGGTTCCCTCTGTAAAATGCATACAAGTGTCTGCCATCACAGATGTCCTGTTGCTGCCATTCTGCTTCAAGGCCTCATATTTCAGTTGCTGGTCTTCTGGGAAAGCTGTCACCTCCTGGACTTGGCCAACAATTCTCCTTAATAGTCCAGGGAGGTCGTTGTTAATAATAGCAGGCCAACTCTGCTATATGTATTATTCGTTCACAAAGGGAAGGGGGGAAATAGGAGTTGAGACTCCCCAGATGTCCTCATTTATCCCACAGGATGGGGGATGAATTGCTATCTCCCTCCACCCCAATGCAGAAGTGGTCAGGGATTTACTGTCATCTGAGGCTGTTCTACTAGAAACTGTTCCACCGGCCACTGACTAAGGGGGCAGGCCACATTGCAGAATGGAGGACGTGCACATTTTGTTGTGAGCAAAATTACCTTGCTGAGGTTGGCATGTAGATCTAGGAGGAGAGAAAAGGATGTTAGGTCTTTTGGGCAGAGATCATATTTTTGTTCTGCGTTAGTACAGAGCTAGGTACCACCTGGTCCTGGTGCCTGACTGGTCCTCGAATGCTACCCCAGCACTAGCTACAACAATAATACTAAACATAGCAGCTGTTCTCCCACCCAATCTCTCTTTTGACCACCCTGAAACACTCCTGTAGTAGATTTTGCAGGGCACAGTGGGGGAACAGCTACTCATGAAATAGCTACTTATGTCTTCAGCCTCCATTTCCACAATCAGAAAAAATAAGTAGCTGTAGAACTACTTAATTTAAACCAGTAATGGCATCTAAACCAATAATGGCCAACTGTCTTTCATCCCAAAACAAGTTCTAAGCTGTACACAACCAGAAGTCACAATATTCATCAATAAAATGCAGCTATTTATTGCAGGGGGTGCTAAATGTTTAGACCAGAAAATTAAAAATGATTATATGTAATTGAGATTACAGAGAGAATTTAGGAAGCCAGTCCATACCTAAAAGAGCTAATGCCCTAAAATACTTAGCTTAAAGAGGAAATTATCTTGAGATCCTGTAGAGCTACTTAATTGGATTTCCATACATCAGACTCGAATCCTTTAGTGGGCTCTGCACTAGAGACAAGCACTAATATTTTGACATAAATGTTTTGACTGAAAATGTAGATTCAAAAAAACTGAAATTGTGAGCAAAAGTGTCTTTCAATGCATTTCCTGTTTTGGAGAAAAATTCAAAATTATTGAAACCTACCATTTCATCATTTTCTAAATGATTGCAGTTCAATTTTGGGGGACCAAAACAAGTATTTATTTGGAAAGGCAAGTTTGTCCTGATTCAGGATGGGAAAATATTTCAAAACTTGAAATCTTCTCCTGGAATTGGAAAGCTGTTTCCTTCTTGGTTTTATCCTGCCTGTCAGAAAGCAGAAGAAAATCCTCCAGTCAAATTCATCACCATTGTAAATTCACTGTCTGTCAGATCCTGGTCTGAGTTTTTACAGGGCTGGCAGTCAGGTAAAGGCTCTCTTTTCATTTGTAATCTGAACAAATTTGATCTGGAGTCACTGATACACAATGTTTAAGGATTTTAGAGTATAGGTCTCTTGGAAAAAACCCTTCCATTCATTTAAATGGAGGATACATATCTAAATCTCCTACAGTTATTAGTCCTATTATTTGAAAATAACCAATCACACAGCAGCCCACAAAGCCATTTTTAAAACGTCAGAGTTTTTAGACTAGAAGTGTTTGACATTTTCTTCTTTCCCTTGTGCTCAAACTTGTCATCTGGCACCAGAATTCCTGGAAAGGAGCCTTTGCTCTGGTTTCTGTTTGGGGATAATTTCTGCCAAAATCTCCAGAAGTTGACGTGGCTTTAGAAATGCAGAACATCATTCTTTTCTGATACATACATGAGCATGAAGCCAAATCCAGCTGCTAATCGGACTTACGGAGTATGGCTTGAGTCAGGTTTCAAAGTACTATGTGTATGTGCAATGTAACAAATGGGATAGACTTGCCTCTAAGGGTAGAAACAGAATAGGCATTGCCTTGTGCCATCATAAATTTACTAGTTCCATCCCTATTCCCAGTGTTAGTCACTTATGTTATCTGCAGTAACTTTACCTGTGACTGGAAAGACAAAGTCAGGCCCTCAAACTAGACTGGAGCTTCAATTACAAAGGTGAAGATCCCCACTGGATTTAATGGGTGTAATTACACCAATTTAGATTAGTTTCTTATGTCGGCAGGGCCAAGGAGGTCTTCAGAGGCATCTTCCCTAGGGGGAGGGAATAAGCTGAGAACACTCTGCTGGCAGCCTCGGAGGGAAGGAGAGCTTCACTTTTCACTCACTGGCCTCAACTGCGGAGTTGGAGAACTACAGAGTAACACAAGCGCTCAGATATCACAGAGGACATGAGAACCAGGAGAGACGGACAGAAGGCAAATGACATTCTAGTCACAACCTCCAGTGACCTGCAAGAAGAAATTGCAAACAAATATAAAGGAATGAATCCTGCAATCCTTTTTTTCCTTTTTGTCTGGTCCACGCACCATTCACAATAGTCAGAAAGGTTGTCCTAAGAACTGCTGTGAAAACACATGCAACATTCCTAGTGTTTTTCCTTTTCCTTTTCCCAGTGATTCTCCTCCTGACACGTCTGGAGGAGAACCTTGAAAAATGGGAATGTCTGTCTGGCCTGGTGGCACAAATAAGCAGCCTGGCAGTGGACTGTATATCAGGCGATAAATGCTGAAAGAAAGCATTTGAGTGAGTGGGGAGCTCTGTCTTCTAGACTAGAAGGCTTCAGAGGATTAAAGTGGGGATAGGCATAGCCTCTCTGGGGAACACTGTGGGCCTCCTGTTATTTCTCGGGACGGTCTCAATGAAGCAAACTCTTGACCTGCCTTTTTTTCTTAAAGGGCTAGTAATTTTTGGTCCAGTAATTTTAGGTCCAACATTTTTATTGTAGGGTTTGTCTTTTTATAACCATACTTAACATTTAAACAAAATGATCAATGAAAAGCTCTCTGTGAATTCCCATGAAAATATCTTGGCTCTTACTATTGGGATTTCAAGATGGCCACCTGGTATTTCCAGGTGAAACACTGCACTGATAAGTTAGCGGATAAGCAATGAAAAGGCTAGTCTGTCTACTTTAGGGAGGCAGAGTGAAATGTAAAAACAAACAGCAAAACTACTGAAAAGTCCATTAGGTTTTAAAACTTCTTTCTCAGCTTTTATCATCACTTAGTATTAGTGGACAAATGGGAGTTTGCAAAAAGCTGTTCAGAATTGCTCGTGAAAACTGGTTGCTGGTTTTCAACCAGTTCAGCGAGCAAACAAAGTTTGTCATGAACATTTGCATCGGCATTTCAATTTTTTTTTTTTAATGTTGACAGCAATGTAAGTCAGTTAGTGATCACTTGAAAATGTTCGTTAAAAAAAAAACCTAGAAAGCTTTTGCAGAATATTTTTGTTGAAATATTTGGCCATGTTTGTGATTGGCATCACAACAGAATTTAGAGGACCTAATCAGAACTGGAGGTCCATTGGGTAGGCACTGTAAAAACCCTCGTGAAGTTTTTTCCCTGTGCCAAAGAGCTTACAAATTAAATAGACAAAGACAGACAAAAGAAGTCATATTAGCTCCCTTTGATGGGGAACTGAGGAACAGATAGATTATAATTTGCCCACATCTGCAAAAGAGCCAGCCTACTGTAAGTACCAGATATTTCCTTCTAGTGACACAGAAGTAAGAACTGGGTTATTTTTAACAATTTTGCAGGATTGTCAACAGTGACCCTGGATATACCATGAGCTGAAACCAAAAGCCTCATTTTCCTGACACAAGATTAGAGTCTCTTATATTGTTTGCTGGTCATCAAAGCCAAGCTTGATGCTTCTCCATGTGAAGGCATCACCACATGTCCATAGTGTTATAGTTAAAGTGTGAGAATATAGTAGCTACACCTACCAAGCAGAGCAGCGTAATCTCAGAGCATTCAATCATGGGACAGTTGCTGGATCTATTCCCACTAGCTAACTTCACCAGCAGAGGGATATGTAGATTTCTAACCACAGACACCACTTTAAAAAGCTGTGGTTTTTTTTGATGTAAATCTATCTCCTCTAGGGTAGTGGGGGGAGGAGGGAATTGTTAATTGGTGAACTGTGCATTTTTCCTCTCTATTCCAACAAACCAATTTGTAAATATAAGCAGCTGCCATCAAGAAAGCTAGCAAGGTGCTGATCTGCCTTTCTGACCACTTCTCAAATGTTTGCTACTGCCTGTTGCTGCAAACCTGAGTCTCCCCTGCCAAATAGTAAATAAAGATTACTCCCTGCTCTGAAATTAATAGTAGCTTGTTTTGCCTCCCTGCCAGATGGGCTGTAATCTAATCACACTCCTTGAGGCTTTACCGAGCAATCACTCTTTCCCTCACACTGTCACATATGCCATCACATTGCATCACAGATTCCTCAGCCTCCACAATAGGTACAGTATGCTGGGACTTTTCTCTGTAACACATCCACAGATTTGCTGAGGCCAGCTTTGTTCTGTGCATTCATGGAGACCAAAATAACAAAAAGAAGCACTCTGGGAACACTGGATTTTGCATGTCAACAGTATATGTAATTTGATTAGCAGACTGCCACTTAGATGGGGATGCCAGGGAAATTATCTGTCTAGGCATCTCTTGAAGTACAGGTCTAATCAGAAAATAGCCTTTGGCCAATGGGAGCTGTTCTCAGGGGCTCATGTGAATATTTAGTCACTCACAGGAGCTGTGGTAAAAAATATGGATGAGCAGAGTGTCCAGACAGTACCGGGGAATCTAGTCAACATATCTCACAATTACTGCATTGTTCTGATTATGAGTAGTCTACCTTTCCCCTCTCCAAAAGCATGGCAGAAATCATACTCAAATCAAGCTATACATGGTGTCAACCTATAATCAGATTCTCTGGAGTCCTGATTTTGTGCTTACAGTATTTTTGTGTGTGTAATAGAAATACCAAATAAGACATTTTTATTCTAATATTTTAGTGCATTTCCCCCATTTGTGGTGTTTCCTTAGTTATGTGATTCTCCTGTGGGATTTTGTGAGGGCAACAGCAGTCCAAGATCTTTATCTGTGGTTGCTAATTGAATGTTTATGGAAAAAGCTGTTTTTCCTATAGTCAAACTGGAAAATGTGGGGTTGACTTATATGTAGGGTCAAATTATACTTGAAACAATACGGTGTGTTTTGCACATGCAAAAAGCAAGTGGTAGAGTCAAGGAATGTTCACAAAATAGGGCACTCATACTATGAATGTGGAGAAATGAAAATCTGAATTTATATAGAAATTTGATAAGGAAAACTGCTAATCAAGGAAGCAAAGTACCAGCAAACTGGCACAGAGAATGGATCACAACAAGGTGGGATGACTGGCTAGTTATGCTGGTTCATTTAATAGGAGAAATTTAATTGCCAACCCAAAAGGGAGGCCTGAGTAAACCTCCAAAAAGCTCAGGCTGAGTTTGTCGCTATGTTATTTTGGTCAGAGGAGTCCCCTGTGGTTCAGTGGTAGAATCCTTGTCCACCACACAAGAGATCTGAGTTTGAGTCCCAGACACTTATATAACTCCAGCCATGAAGGCACCAAACATCTGGAGTCAGTCTAATCATTGGATTCTGTCTCAGTGACCTAAAAGGAAGATGGAAGGTCTGGGCAGCCTCCGGTACTCCAAAAATTCCTGCCCAGACATATGCATCGAAGGTCTGGGTGGCCCTCATGCATACATCATGATCCAGGAGGCTTGACAGTTGCCACTTTGGTCAGACAAATTACATTAGTCCTCGGGGGAAAAAGTTAAAAACAAGCAACTCTAATGAAAAGGAGCCAGCCTAGCACTGCTAATTCTGCACACTTAGCTGCTACATTGATTAGCAACTGCCAAAAACCTAGCTACATCCTAGCCATAAAAAACCCATGCAGACACTTGTGGCTAGGTACAGACATTACACTTTTACTGGTATAAAGGATCAGAAACCCGTCTATACCCATAACAGAACAGAAGCTCAGTGAGCACAGACTTGTTTAACAATGGCAGTACCCGGTCTAAGATTTGCTGTCAACACCACCAAAGGGCAAATGTGTGTTTTGTTCGCTACCAATCTAAACTACATCACTTACAAAAAACCACATAACTTAGATCAATTCTGCCTCGGGCTTCTTGAATGTCTGTACCTAGGCTGCAGGTACTAGCCAGTCCACAGAGCATCACCAAGTGCTTAGTCAGTTGTGCAGGTGCCTGGGAAAGTCTCTACATACTCCTCAGCTGGCTCAAGCCACCATTCTCAAGCCATTGCCTTCCTGAGGGCCATGATCATTTTGAAAAAGAAAAGGGAAAGTAACTCTTA